ACCATCACCTCACTGTATGTCATATTCGACTACTTTCACAGTACTCACCTCACCTTTTTTCTACCTTTGTGTCTGTGAATCATTATTCTGTCCCCCCTCTCGACTTTTTGCCACTTTTGTGTTTCTCTTCCTTTCTGTGAAGCACGAAGTCAACTAAAGGGCTAATGGCACCTATCATAATGCCTGCCATTTGAAATGAATAAATAAATGTTTTTGGTGTTGGGGGAGAAGAATTTTGCAAGCCACTCTGTAGTCTTAGAGATGGAAGTGCCCTCATCACTCAAACTTTCGAGATGTACGCTTTCTGCACGCAGACGAAATCGAACCGTAAGATGCATCAACTGCTGACGAGTGTAAATTTTTTTTCCTCCTGAAAACCAACGTCTATAGCAACTTTAACCTACTTACCTTGACGACCCAGATTTAACATCATGCTCTGGGAAGATTCAGCCAAGACTGTGGCTATAAAGAAACCCGGGTTTAAAAGCCATGATCCCCAAGATGCCTTTCTCATCCTCCTCGGCCATGTGCCACAAATCAAAATAGTTATCCAATACTACTGAACTCAAAAAGATAATCTAGACAGCACAGTGACGACTAATTGCGTTTATGTAGAAATTACCATTGCCTTAAATAAGATTCCAGAGGGTTGCCCCACCATCTCTAAGGAAGCAAGGTGTATATGTGCTTCTCTCATCAGGATATCACTTACCATGAGGTGCAATTTAGCATTCTCTTCAGCCAAATGTGCTTGCGATTCCAGCGGTGGCTGTGGTAGGTGTCCTTTTTGCCTTCGTTGAAATGAGGGTCCCCGAGAAAACGCACGGCGAGGTGGAAGGGGTGGTGAATTAGGGTACTCAGCTGGGCTCACATTCGTCTGAAGATTATTCGAAGATTCGGAGTGGTCAGTGATGAGAGGAGACACACTCTTTGGAGGGGAGTTCAGCTTGCTTGACAAGCTCATGTTGGCCAGAGTAATAGGTGATTGGGCGCCATTATTTGGCGACATCAAGCCAGTGGAAGATTGCGATGAAGGAGTGGATAGATTTATTCGATTTAATACTGGAAGAGCTCCACAGACCTCAAGGACTCCCTCGCTATTTAGCGAGGCAGAGAAACCCTGTAGAAGTTTTACCTAGAAGGATAGGAGGAAAAGGGAGGTCCAATTCGATGTAATAAAATGTGCAATGACTAAGTGTGAAGCAGAGCGCAATGAGGTCAAAGCGCGAAGAGCTCTCAGAGATCTTCTGAGAAGGAAATAACGATCAGCACTTAGCGTCATTCACGTAGAAAACACCCAGTTCTACAAGCTTCGGCTTTTCAAAATTATTTCCTAAAGAAGGGGGTTAATTCTAATAGAGACCCTCTTATGAAAATGGAAACAACTAACACTAACATTGATTGTAATGGATTTTACGCTGAAAGAGCTTACTTATCACTAACGACAAAGCGGACAACTTAAGTGTAACAATTTTATCATGAAAATGATAATATTAGGAGTATAGACGAAGACCACTGTACTTAGAGGGAAGGGAATTGGTGGAGCAGAAGTTAGTAGTCCGAAAGCTATATACAAGCTCTCATTTATGGCCGACCTAACATGGACCGAAAAAATCAGAAGCTAAGACATCCCATCAGTGTTGATTTGGGAGGCAACAACATAAAACCAATATCAGGACACACAGGCAGTTAGATAGAATGTCACGCTGACCTTATCGTTTTGTCGATATTATAATGGGCGGTGATTAGAGGCTTTCCGCCCAAACTATTTCGAATAATAAATAATTTGCCTGATATTTTACAAAGTGTCAAATCATGAATCCGCCCAAAGTTTTCAGTAAGAATCAACCAAAAGCGACCTTAAATGCCACGTAAGCGAGTAATACAACTTTGCCACGTAGGCGGATTTAAAAGCTGCAGCATTGAACAGGGCGCTTATAACCACAGCACAAAATAGTGCTAAGCACTTACTGATCTTGACCGAACGAAAATAGACATTAATCGGGGTGGGAGGAACAACCTCGGAATGAAATCGATGAGCCCTAAATATCACGGATATCGCCCACTCATGAACCTGTGCGCCAAAACATGAAGTTTAAACACACCAGGACGCTACGCAGTAATTACTGATAAGCAAGTAGAGGGGGGAAGTAAAGCAGACCTATTTCTTGGTAAACACTCCATTTCTTGCCTTATTTGTCTCACCCTTTATTCCCATGACATTTCGTTGTAAATAATGTAAAAGCCGTATTTTCGGATTATCATGGACGCAATAATAGCTTTAAGGATCACTCTTTAACCACTTCTTAAAATAAAGTTGGAACCACGTGATGATTTAAGCAGTTTTGGAGACATCATTAATTCTGATGGCTTGCAATTCATCTCCGCTTGAGTGTGCGCCCAAGACACAACTGCGGCATATCGAAAAATCAGTTGTCCCCCCCCCCCTCCACCCCCATTCTTGTGTTGACTCAGAATAAGATCAGTCTGTTTTATACCCTCGGTGCAACCGTATGGTGTCTATTGTTGGTCACCTGATTCTTACACACTCTTTACAAGTCGGAGGTAATCATGGCAAAAAGACCATTGGTTAATCGCAATTGTAATAACATCAGCCTTAACACCTCAAACTGAGATGAAATAGAAGTTATCCGATCAAGAAGGAAACAGTTTACTTGATCCCTCAAATGTTTCATTTGTAACTTGCTTGAATCTTAATTGAATGCTAAATTCATATTTATCCGCGCGTACATTCTAAGTGTATTAAACAGTTTGTACGAAATCCAGTAGTCCAGGTTATCGTGAAGGGCAGCCAAGTCAAAAAAGTGCCACCCAGTTGTTCGAGACTGGCAAGGTGAACTCTCCTCACAATCACAAAAAGAATCTTGTAAACATGACAATTTCAAACAACAACAAAAAATGTAAGGCTAAACCAAATATGGAATAGCGGCCAGCAAAAGGACTTGGAGAGACAAAAATTAGGAGGTAATTATTGGGTAATTAGAAAATTGATAAGGCGAAAAAAAAACAAGCAGGCCATTCGCGCTGCATGAAATCATTTTCCTCGAATAGGAAGGAAAGCATTCCGATTTCGTACAAAGATAGTAAGCGAACACACACGCACACACACACTCACGCGCGTATAAATCAAATGCAAACTAGTGGATTAACATAGAGACACAATAAAGTACACTGCATGCCTCACCCTAGTCACAGGTAACTTTGACTACAAAGAGAGAAGTGGATAAGAAGCAAAATATTTTACAGGGTGAGAAATTAGAGCAAAAAAAGTGCAGGCTAATTCGTTAAAACCCCTCACCTTTTGAATTGGAGCCTTGCTTTCACTTTGACCCAGTGTACCACCCCTCTTCGATCGCCTGCCCCACTTTCTGGGTCTAGCGGTCAAATCTAGCACAAGGTTGCCCTTTTCCAAACAGAAGGTCAGGTCCAAGAGTTGAGGAGGATTAGTGAATGGCATCGAACCGGCTCCTGGGCCGTGGGTCACCAGATGATGAAAAGCTCTAACACCACCCCGTGAAGTCCAATGACCTAAAAGAGATTCAAGGACTTCCCAAGAGGTCGGAACAGGATAAAGAGTGGTTTCTTCCATCATTCCAACATGCATAGCCATCCAACCATCGTAGGGGGAGAGAAGCGTCTGTGGTTGACCTGGTAGAGCGTCTCCCCCAAAACGGAGAGTTATTAGGAAGGCGGGGGAAGAGAGGGGAGTTGAGATATCACCGATGTCGAGTTTCACTTCATCTTTACTGTTATCACTATCAGCTGGATCATCTTCAAGGTCGTCGGGATCGAAAAAGTTGACAGAAGTAATTCCAACCCAAAGCCGGGCCTCAATAGTTGAAATATCTGTTGAATCGAAAGAATGAGCTATGAAGCGTGCAAACATCGATGATAAGTCACAGGAAAATTGTAAACCACTCTATCGGCACATAAGCGCTGTGATTTTGTTATCTTTCACTCATTTGCTCCATCCTACACCCAGTCTAACATGTCCGCAATGATTAATAGCTGCGTCTTCTACAATCAACTTATATTTACCTAAAGTTCCAAAAGTGAATAAAAATAGTTTATAAAAGCCAGAAGTCATGAAATTAAAACGGCGAAGGCAATGATATCTCAAATTGCTAAGATATTTTAATTTCGGGGTGTGCGATAGACTTACATCCATGTGGTGTACCCTGGGCAACGTATATTCATACGCAAAAAAGTCTATTGACTGGCAGTTGACTTCTCACTTCAAACTACCATCACCTCACTCTATGCCATATTCGAATATTTCACAGTACTCACCTCACCTTTGTGTTTGTCTCTTACATCTTTGAAACACTCTTCTGTTCCCCCCCACCCCCTATCGACTTTTTCAAATTGATGTTCCTTCCCCTCTGTGAAGCCTGAAGTCAACTAAAGGGCTAATGATAACCATCAAGACGCCTGCCATTTGATATAACTAAATAAACTTTGGATGATTTTCAAGCGTGCTTTAACAAGACTATAGACAGGTCTTGAAAACACCCAAAAGCTTTATCCATAAGGCTTATTCGAGCACCGCTAGTCTTACCTTCATAATAGTGTCTG